TCATATATTTCAAGTGCTTGCAAATGTCAAAGTGCTCCTCTATAGTCAAGTATTATGGTATTACTTCAAACATAGCAAATCATAAAAGTTCTGTAATCTCCTATATATAAATGTACTTTGTGAAAAGGCTTTTGTGACACACATAAGAGACAGTTAAAAGCAAAACGGTGAGGTGATATTTGATGTACCAGTTACTTTGCTATGGCTTTTAAGCAAAGAATAAGGTGTCAAAGAAGGTTTGCTTTTTTCTTCTATATTGGAATTCAGTCCTTCCCTGCCCAAATGATGAAGGTTACTTAAAGGTTTTCACTGTTCAGAGGCAGGGGTAAAAAACAACACCACCTCAGCAGACAAGAAAGCTGTGCAGCCTGATCAAAGATAGCAGCATGAGGAGAGGGAGAGATTAAAGGAGAAGACGTGGCAGGATAAAGTACTACAGAATACAGAGTATAAAAAGAAACACTTTGTAATAAAAGTCAAAAGTAGCATAAGAACAGTAGGGAAGACAGTGGGTAAACCAAATGAGTTAATAAAGATTTCCAGCAAAGCCCTACAAATAACGTAACAAGACACTGACATGCTTGCACAGACGTATTCTAAACAAACCTAAAATTTCAGAGATGTTTAAATTTTTTATTTTTGTTTACTTACGTAATCTCTACACCCAGGGTGGGGCTTGAACTCACGGCCCTGAGATCAAGAATTGCGTGCCCTTCAAACTGAGCCAGCCAGACGCCCCCAAATTCAGTGATGTTTAAAATACAAAACGTAAATTCAGGCAGCGGGATTGAGGATGGCAAGGAGGGTGCCGGATGACAAAGAAAACAGAAGCGGAGACAGAGATGCTGCCCCAGATCCCAGCCCCATTTCCGCGCTGGGAAGAGAGTGACCTCGCACTTGTATGGCAGGTGCTGTTTATGTCCAGATAAACCGTTCTTTGCCGCCTGGTGCTTCCAGCGGTGTCCAGGCAACAACCCCCTCCTTGACTGACTGTATCTGAACTCTGATGAGGAAGTGGTGGGAAATGGGATGTCTGAATAGAGACAGATGCACAAACATCATTCAGATAAATTTATATTGTTTGACAGGATTGCCAATCAAAACACTTTGTTAACTGAAACACAAGTACTTGTGGGGCACCTGGGTGGCTCAGTAAGTTAAGCATCCAACTCCTGATTTCTGCTTGAGTCATGATCCCATATTGAACTCTTGCTGGGCGTTGAGCCTGCTTAAGATTCTCTCTCTCTGCCCGTCCCCCCAATTGCACGCATGCTCTCTCAAACAACAACAACAACAACAACAACAACAACAACAACAAATCCCAACTCAAGTACTTTGGCTTCACTCATCAGAAAACTGTCTTTTCTCCCACTCAGTCCATAAAGAAAACATCTACTTTGGCACTTGATTCCAACAGTTCCGCAGTGTCTGTGTTCCCTGTGCCTGTGAATGTGATCTTGCCGAGACTGAAAGTTCCTATATGTCAGGGTCTGATGAGACAAGTATGATCTTGCAAAAGTATATAAGCATTGTATAAAATAGTCGATACCTCAGTAAGATGTACCGTCAGTTTTTTTATTTGGCAGTAGTAGAAATACATCCATGTTACAGAGCTCATTTTGGCTAAAGAGCCGGTACAATTTTTTTCTGCTACAGTAGTGTTTCACTTTTACATAAATTAGGAAGTACAGTCCTTACATTTAGGAAATAGACACATTTACTAATATCAGCCAAGTAAAGATAATACATGGTTGTTCTCAAACTAAGCAAAACAATAACACAAAAGAATCATTAGGAACAAAGAAAGAATGCCCCTATTTCCATTAATCATAGATTATATAAATTCTTGAGTCCCAGAGAAATTTCTAAATATGATTAATCCGAGCAAAAAAACAAAAGATTTCAATTCAGCCTCATTCTTATAATTACTTTGAAAGATATACTCCAAATAATTTCCTATATGTGTTCATATTAAAATAAAAGCAAATTATGTCATGAACATAATTAAAAATTTCTGATTATGAAAAGTCACAGAGAAGTATATTAAATGTTACTTTGGCATTCCTATTTTAATGTTTAAAAGGATAATAAACTAATTCTTTTGTGATGCAAATAATCACTCTTTAGGTAATCATTTAAGTACAAAACGTGACCTCTTTTTTTTAATTGAAACATAGTTGACACACAATGTTGCATTAGTTTCAGGTGTGAACATGTTACATCTTAAGGCAAGAGAAAGTTTGTAAATATTTTTTTATAAAGTCAGATAATTTAACAATAGAATCAAAATAAAGGGATGCAAATAAACAGTACTTTTTTCTGAGAGAAAGTTTTTTGAAGCTGACTGTAACAGGATGAAAAACTTGGCTTCTTTTAAATAAAAAAGTAATGTCAGTTTGATATTTAATAAATGTATTATAAGCCTTCGAGAAGAAGTAACTAGACTTGGTTGAACAAAAACATAGAGAAACCAAAATAGAAAAAAAGTTAGCAAATATAAATCACCTGAACACTGACTGATCTTTTTTCTTCCAGAAAACAGGAAGAAAAAGCCATTTTCTCAGGATGATTTCAAGGTCCTCTTATCACATACACAGGGGAGTGGATGTTAGTAGGACTCATGATGGCAATGTTAAGTGTCAAACAGGGTTCCTTCCTAAGAGGCTCTAGACTAGTTTAATCCTTTTTTATTATTACAACATTGTTTTAGCTGTTTACCCCAATATCAAGGCAAACTGAAACTGGTACATATGTGTTAAGCACTCTTCTGTGGTCAGAAACTGTTTTTGAGAGATGTTTCTTTTAAAAAGTTCAAGTTTCTTCCCTTACAGTAGAGAGGTTTTTCCTATACTTACTACCCTGAAGTTCTACTTGGTCACTCTTGTCTCTTTCATCAAAGGCCACAAAGAAGCATTTTGCTAAAATAGTAGCTACACAACTGACAAACTAATCAAACTCACTGATTTTGAGAAACCAACCTCTTGAATATGGGTGGCTTTTTTTTTTTTAAGGTGAAAAGTAAAAGAGAAGATAAAACACCTTCTGGAAAGCTATTCATCTTATCTGATGAAATAAATTCCCCAGAGTCATCTTATGTAATAGCAGCATTATTAAACAGTGCAATTCTTCAAAATAGGTTTAAAATAATATTTTCCTCAACTAAAAAAGTAATTAAGTTTACTTCTAGCTTTGTTTGTAAAATCACAGCTTAGAACATTTAGCCTCCCTCTCCCCCCGCAAACAGGAAGATTAATATAAGCAATAATTGTCCTGTCTACACAATGATGGGAGTGTGCGTGTGTGTGTGTGTGTGTGTGTGTGTGTGTGTGTATACACGTGTGAATCATTCGAGGCCAGGGGTACCTCAACAAGAAACTAAAAAACAAGAGATGAATTAAAAACTAAAACAACACATAATGGAATGTTTAGTTTTGATACTTCTAATGATATTCCTCCATCAATAATAAAAGTTATGAATAGCCAGTTGTTAAATTACGAATATATGTAAGAAAGGTCAGGAGCTGAATATCAGAGCAATATTTCATACTGTTTAACGCTCTAACCCACATATTATGGAACACAGTAACATGAAAACAGCATAAAGATTCTGAAACTCATATTTCGTAACCAATAGTACATAAATATGGCACATATGTAAATTTAAAACCTTAAAAGATTATGCTTTCCTCCTCACTTTTCATTTTCTACTCATTAATCAGAAACTAGGCACTTTAATCTAAAAATTCATTTTTAAAAAATATACTTTAGATCTTTCTGGGTAACTCACTCCTAAAATAAATAAAGCCCATCTCAGGAGCATAATCAATGAATCCCAATCCATTGATTTGCTGAGTGAGCCACTTTAAATAAGTGGTATATGATTTAGACACAAAATTAATACAGCTCTGAATGTATCTAATATACCCTGAAGAACCCCTCATATGAACAAGCCATTTGTTCATCTATTTATCATAAAGGACATGAAATATATTGTTCATGTCATTAAAAAATATTTTGTTCAACTCAGGGGGAAAAAAAACCTTTAAGACCTCACTAAGATTCAAAGTATGAATATTTTAAAAATAGGGGCATAATATGACAAACCCCCAGTGTGCTACGTTATGTAGAAGGAGAAAGGAGAAATTATTTTACTGTATCCAGATTAATACCTTCAGATATTCACTGGGAGATAGTCTCAAAACTACAGACACAAAAAATCTTAATTACCGCTCACAGTTAATAAATGTTATCTTTTTAATCAATATTCATTCAAAGGAAAATGCTCTAATCTATAAAAAGATAAAAGAAATTTCTTCAGTCTCTATTCTAACTTATAGGCCCAACAATAATATATTTTGGAAACTGCAGTAAACCTAATGTAAACTTCTCAGCGTCAATTCATTTAAGTGTTTTATAAGATAGCCATGACAATTTCTTCGATTCAAACATAAGCGAATGCACAAGCAATAATGTAAGCAGTACATATTAAACACCACTACTGCCCAAACTTGATTAAACAATGAATAACTTTACAATGAAAAATACATTTTCAGGCAAAGTTAAACTTGTTGACACAAGGAGTAATATATTCTTACATATGTGGGCCACAAAGGTCTTGGCTAAAGTGTCTATTTTCAAGGTGCAAAGCATAAAAACAGAGCTTTTGAAAATGATACTGCACATTGCAGACAGCTTCAAGACGACATATCAATTAACTCCCAAGTACTGGTTTCAATTCAAGCAGTTTTTCTGTAAAATATACAACATTTCACCACACTTAAATTATTACCTAAAGACTAGAAAACATCATTTTGGGTACAGTACACAGGGATTCAATGACAGAACTTCTGTGTAAATATAGTAGGATCACTCGTTCTTGCCTAGATTTTCTTTTCTCTCCCTGAGTCCATATCCCCCAATTCCTTATAATGTGTGTTACAAAATCAATAGTTACCTTAAATATTTCATAGCACACTCAAGTTGTATGGTTTTTATGGTACTTATTGTACTTTGGCTTCCAACAGGCCACTGGACATAACATGACCATGACTACTTATACAACTACTTGTATGCCTCAGTGCGTCAGCCCCAAGATAGGCCAGTAAGAGTTCAGTGCGGCGAATAAGTAACTGCATGAGGTCTTCGGCCAAAGTCTCTATACTGGAATAGCGCACCTTCTCGAAGTCAAAAATGTCTTTGAGAAAGAAAAGAACTTGATTCTGGAAAATGAACACAAAACAGGTGGTACTTAACAGACCAAAAGTGTATTAATCTAAATAGCTACTAATATTGTAACAAGCGTTGAATTAGTAGTCAGAAGACCTGACTCCAGTGCTAGTTCCACATCCACTGGAAAAGGGACCTTGTACAAATGCTTAAACCTTTCCTGAGTCTCATTCTTTTTCTGTAAAATAGGGGATAATACTACTTGTTCTCTGTACCACTCAGAGCCAACATGATGATGAAAAAGAAATAATGTATGGGAAATGCCTGTAAACCCTGAAAGTACTATATAAATGTAAGAGGCTATTGTTAATTCTTTCCCATTAACCGATGTTTTCACTGTTACCTCTGAACACTGGTACGAACTTTAAGATAGAAGAGTAAACTATTTCCCATAATTGTAACTCTTACTTTTTTCAATTAATTATATTATTTATTTTTGAGAGAGAGGAGTGGGGGGAGACAGAGAATCCCAAGCAGGCTCCACACTGAGAGCATGAAGCCTGATGCAGGGCTTGAACTCACAAACCGTGAGATCATGACCTAAACTGAAACCAAGAGTCGACGCTTAGCCAACTGAGCCACCCAGGAGCCCCACTTTTAAGTTTCAAGTATGTATTTTTCTGTACCTAAAAAACTTAAGATAGATGAAAAATAAAAATTTCAGATTTCAAATAGAAAGATCACGAAAGATACTTCATTTCAGTAAGTTAATACTTACGCCGAAACCCATTTTTTTTTAAATTGATGCATAGTTGACGTACAGTGTTATATTAATTTCAGGTGTACAACACAATGATTCAACAAGTCTGTACATTACTCAGTGCTCACCAAGATAAGTGTAGTCACCACCTGTCACCATACAATGTTATTACAATATTATTGACTATATTCCCTATGTTGTACTTTTCATCTCCGTGACTTATTTATTTTATAACTGAAGTTTCTACCTCTTAATCCCCTTCACCTATTTTGCCCAGCCTCCCAATTCCTTCCCCTCTGGCAACCCCCAGTTTGTTCCCTGTATTTATTTACTTAAGATTTTCTTTTTTAAGTAATCTACACCCAACGAAGGGCTGGAACTCACAATCCCAAGATCAAGAGTTGTATGCTCTACCAACTGAGCCAGCCAGGTACCACTCTGTATTTATGATTCTATTTGGTTTTTTGTTTGTTCATTTGCTTTGTTTTTGGTTTCCACACATAAGTGAAACCATATGGCATCTGTCTTTCTCTGGCTGACATATTTCACTTAGCATGATACCCCCTAGGTCCATCCATGCTGTTGAAAATAGTAAAATCTATGGGGTGCCTGGGTGGCGCAGTCGGTTAAGCGTCCGACTTCAGCCAGGTCACGATCTCGCGGTCCGTGAGTTCGAGCCCCGCGTCAGGCTCTGGGCTGATGGCTCAGAGCCTGGAGCCTGTTTCCGATTCTGTGTCTCCCTCTTTCTCTGCCCCTCCCCCGTTCATGCTATGTCTCTCTCTGTCCCAAAAATAAATAAACGTTGAAAAAAAAAATTAAAAAAAAAGAAAATAGTAAAACCTCATCCTTTTTTTTTCCGAAACTCAATTTAGGTAAGTTGTATACTACTAAGTATTAAGTCTCAGCCTGTTATGCCATGATGGGAGAAAAAAAGTAATTCCAAAGAACTAAAAAATAGAAATACTTTCTATCCTACAAAAACCAAATGTTAAGAAGTACTAAGAAGGCATGTTTCATAGATTTGCTTGACTTTATACCTGGACAAATCATTAGCAATCATCTCTAGCAATCTTAGAGATGAAGAAAAGGAGGACAGAGCATGATTTGCCCACAGTCAGACTGTTCATTAATGACAAACTTAATTCCCAGTCCAAATTTTCCCAAGAAATACATACATTTGGGAGTTCAAGAAAACTAGTCAAAAATTGATCAGTTTTGAATGACAGTAAAACAAGTATTTCCTAAACATTTACATAAATGCTACATTAACAGCACAAAAACATAATAATTTAAATTTTTTTTATTTTTCTGTAACAGTTTTTTTTTTTTTT